CTGTATTAAATTAATAGTGAATAAATAAAGAGAAAAAAGGAAATTGATTGTAATGTAATAAATAAATAAGTATAAAATATTTAAAAAAAAATTCTTTGCGTCATATCTTTACATTAAAGTTTAATTTTTTTTTCTACTTTTGCTCGACGTGATTTTTTTACCAGTTTATTTGTAAATATTCTTCCTTTTTACTTTTGTTAGATTCATTTTCAGGATTGATTTTTTCAGTTCCAAAGTATCAAATATTCTTTAGCTTAGTGTTTCAGGCGAAACTATTTTTTAACATCTAAAACGTTTTTCACTCCAGAGAATTTTTCTTTGATCCGAAACCTCTAAACCCTAAATTTGGAAAGATTTTTGCAGATCAATTTGACGAAACTAGTTTTGCCTGAAACACTACTTTAGCTTTTTTTGAATTTTTCTTTTGGCTTGAATTGTTCTTAAATTATTATTTAAATTATTTAAATTAAGCTCAAATAATAAAAATACTGTGGTGTGGCAGTGGATTTTGTTGGATATTTCTTTATTACTTTCTCATTTTCTAAAGCCATCTCGATGTTTAATTTCATTTCTTTTATTTATTTTCGTTTATAAAAGAATTTTAAATTTATAGTTTATCAAAAGTAACCGAAAAAAAAAGAAATAATAAATTATTTGTTATTTTGAAACAAAAAAAACTTTATTTTTTCTTTCTTTCTCATTCTATCATTCTATTACCTTTTTTTTTTAAAAAAAATTATTTTTTGCTTTTGTGGTTGTTGATCATTTAAAATAAAAAAAATAAAATAATATAAAAAATTTTGAGTTGATATTGGAATAACTGCTGATATCTTGCTCCCAAGGTCATGAACCAGGTAGTTAAAGCTTACTCTCACGCTTTGGAGAAATTAGGCACATAGGCATGATATAGCCAACTACCCCCTAGACCCCACAAAGTTGATAACTACAACTGGTTCAACACGGAAACACCCTATAGCTGGAACGATTTAACTATCCATGTATGCTGGCCATCGGCATATTACAAGGGGATTCATTCCTATGAAATGAAAATCATTCACCTTATTGAAACTTATTGTCATAACAGAAATCCAATATATTGCACATTGTAGGAGTTGTACTCGAGGATAGCTGGCTAGGAAATCTCACGTACTATCCCACAATGACAATACTCATAAGAAGTTATAATTATTTAATTTCGCATCCCTTTGAATTGTTATATTCACGTGATTAAATATACAAATGACTGATGATCTTGATCTTTACTTTTTATTACCTCACTAATGACACTTTTATTTTTCTTATTGGATCGATCGCTTCAGTTTTTAAGTTTAATTTTTTTTTCTACATTTGCTCTGTGACGCGATTTTTTTTTCGCCGGTTTTATTTGTAATTATTCTTTATTTTTACTTTCGTTGGTTTTATTTTTTAGGTTCGATCGCTACAAGTCCCAAGTATTTAATATCCTTCAGCTTGATTGAACTTTGTTCTTTGGATTTGAATCGTTCTAAAAGTATTAGGTAGTCGAATTTATTTTATATTATGGTTAATCGATTCGAATACAATGATCGAATAATAAAAACAACGTGACAGTGGTGGTGGTTTTGGATATTTTTTATAACTTTCTCATTTTTCTATATTTTGTTACATTTCTTTATCTATTTTGTTTCAATTCATTTGCTATTTCAAAATATATATTAATTATTAAAAATTCAAATTTATAGGTTAATTAATATTAATAACACGGTCATTTCTTTATTATTAGTAACGCTCTGGGGGGCAATTCAAATCATGAGTAACGTTCTAGAAGCGAATTCCAACGCTACAGAAAAAAATTGTAATTATTTTATTTATTTTAAAAAAATTAGTAAAAGAAACTTTTTTTCCAATCTTTTTTTTAAAAAAAAAATCAACTCTTTTTCTTTCTCGTTCTATTCGTCGATAATACCTTATTTTTAAAATTCATTTGGTGGTAGGGCATATTCTCAAAAGATTTATCATAAATTTTATTAGGAACATACTTTTGTAGTAGGTGTCATTGAATCATTTAAAATAAAAAATAAAATTGAACTTGGCGGGAACCTTTAAATCTTTGTGATTTTTTTTTTGTTTTTTTTTGAAGTTCTGGTTCAGGGCGCACTGATCAATCAATTTCAATATCTTTTCGTATCTTGTGTCATTTTCTTTAGGTTTATTTTTAAAGCTGTATCGATAAAAATTCAATTTTTTTCTCTCTTTTAAAGGTGATCTCTTTGAGTTGTATGTATAGGTAAGTTTATTTTTGATTTTATTTTTCATTAAATTATTTCATAAGCGAATTGAATTGCTGAAGACTAGGAGTCAATATTTTGAATTAATAATTTTAATGGCAAATGCGAGGATCATTCTTATACGTACTTTCATTAAAATACACTTTCTTTTGCATTCAACGGATTATTTACATCGATAAGTTTCTTTATTAAAACCATTCCTTATAAATGACCTATGATAGGTATTATCGCACAAAACCTTATACACGATCCATTATCAAATGATGGTATTGTAGGATACAGCCAATTTCGGGAGGTTTATCGACTTGACATCTTCAAAGATTCGGAGGAACAACTGACTTCAGAATATTTTGCTGCGATTACGTGATGGTGAATCGACAGTAGATTATTGGAAAGCATTTTCGCATCATTTATTAGTGCGTCAAACATATCATCTACAGAATATAAAGAATTTTAGACGCCGTATATATCTTACCCTTAAAGTGCGATGTTACTGAGGATAACATAAACAAATTTATGTCATTCAATTGTTCCGTTCAGGATTCGTGGCAGATCATATAGGAAAAGATGCATCAAAAGCAGGTACTGATATAGCAAAAGGTCTTGAAGCGCAGATATTATTGTCCGAAGGTTCGCGTATTATGCTCTGAGCTAATTTGTGTGTAATGGTAGGGTTAGTAAATGGCACAATCAGAAAAGCTTGTGATATTCTGTTCGAAAATGGCCAGAATCCACCTTTCCTTCTCATTGCAGTATTCGTGAAATTTGACAATTACACTGGTCCTGCAATTACGTCTGCAGAAGGCAAAAGGTTTTTCCAATTCCATCATACCGTACCTCGGAGACGAATACAGTACTTTGTTCACGCTTACAAATTCATATTAGCCTTTCCTAGGCTATCAATGTTCATAAAAGCCCGGGGCTGACACTATCAAAAGCCGTTATTGATATCAGAAAAAAAGAATATGTTTCGGTCTCTCATTTGTTGCAGTATCTCGAGTTCGTGCTCTTGATAATATTCTCTTTAATCCGTTCTCATTTGATATGCTGCAACGAATTAAGAGTAATAAAAGTAATGCAAGAACGGAGAATTGTTTAATATCAATAATTGTGGTATGACATAATGGTTTCTTGTAGAAAGAATACGTAAAACGAATTTATTACACTACGCAAAACCTGACGCTTCGGACCCACAACGGGTCCCATTTTAATAAACTATCATGTCATGAATAATTTTTAAGATAAAAGAAAATTTGATATTATAGCAATTGATAAAAAACAAATTTAAGTTCACATATATTCGTTAGTTTTCATTTTCATTATACTTAAAAAGGTATATCTAAAGACAGTTAAATATGAAATTCCATTTTAAGAAAAGTTTGTTAAAGGAAATTGATCAAATAAAAATTAGAATGGAAGAGATAAAGGATTTATTTGTTTTATAAATGTTGAACTATTTTATTCAAATATAAGTAGTGAAAAAAATCTTTTGTAGAAATCTTTTTGAAGTTCAAATGGGCAGTTTTGCAACCTAACTAACCCGCGACATTTGTTAACTTTAGTTATTTTATATGTGACCTACTGTGATATTACCGTGACACTACAAAGGTTACCAAATTCTTTATTATTATTGAAAAACAATGTTTACATCATGTTTAAATTGAAAAGGCAAAAGTTTGGAAAAATTTTATTGAATATTTAGAAAAGTTACATAGATATTGAGAATACAATAAAATCAAAAAAAACAAAAAAGGTACATGAAAAGAAAAGACTATCTAAACTATACTAAAATAGAAATATCAAAGTAGAAAGAGAGGGAGCGTAATCTCAAAAACAAGCAAAAATGCCTACGACAAAGCGTAGTTCAAGGACAAGCATAATGCCTACGACATCCCTCACTAAGAAAAAAATATTAATAGTAGATTACTCATTAAGTTGAACGTGAAATGGAAAGCCATACTTCTTGCTCCTTTGCTGAAGTTGTACTAGTAATCGATTAAAATTTGAACGCAACTGTTTTGCATTTCTTTGCAGATTCTGAACTCGTCGGGCGTCTGGAAGATTTTGAAGACGGTCAACCTCAGAGCGCATATAGTTATACTGGAATTGAAGGTTGTTGTAAGTTGTTTTTAGTTCTCTGTATCTATGTCTGCGATATGAAAAACGAGAAGAAAGGTTATTTAGTTCATTATATAATCTATTATTTTCAACAAAAAACTGAGCGACTTGATCCAAAGCTGCTGAAAGAAGTTGTCGTTGATGGTGGTTTTCTTTTATAAGCTATCAAGACGTTGTTGACGAGCTTCTTCTTTCTGGTTGCGAAGATTGTATCGGCATTTCAGCTGCGTTGTGATTTATCCATGCTGAAAAGTAGATTTTCTATGGATATTTAAATCAAAAAAAAAGTAGCCGTGAAAAATTCTCAAGGCCATGAGAAATTTCTTGCAGAAAAATCTATTGGCTGATGATCATTGCATGGAAATTCATAGAATAAACTGGGAAACGATGACGATCTTATAGGAGGACTTTCATATGATTGGCCGATTATGTTACATGAATTTTGTAATTGATTTATACATATCACGTGATATATATATGTTTATTAAATTAATATTTAAGCTATTTAACGTTGCATAATTATTCTGTTGATATGACACCCAAAATGTTAAATAAATATCTAAAATATTGATGTTTGAGTCGATGCCGTAATGTTCAGGTGATTTCTTACTGCTTACGGTAAGTGTCGTATATTTACTTTTTAAGGATTCCGATATGACATAATTCTATCATTTGGAAGGTTGACAATACGTAAGTTTGTTTAAAATTTTCGTACGCGATCAACACATATCAACAAGTGCCCCCACTTCACTCTATTCTCTCTTTACTTCGCTTAAAAAAAACTAACCAAAAAACAGTTCTTCCAAATACTTTTTCGCTAATTTTTGGCTTCCGAAGGAACATAAAGTGAGTTTAAAATCTTTATTGTTTATTTTATCTTTTAAGAATAACTTTACATAATTAATTTATTAAGAAAAAATCTTGACTACAAATGAAACGAAAGACTTTTTCGTATAGCTACGCTCCTTACGAACGAAACGAAAGGACTTCTTCGATAAGGCTACGCTAATGACTAACGAAACGGAAGGATTTTTCGCTTCAAGATATAAATAAGGTAGACGCGAGAAAAGTCCATTTCTGATACGGGTAGAAATGTTAATGGGAGAAGTGTTTTATAGTCATTTTTATATATCAAAGCAAGTGTATCTTTTAAATAGCGTTGGCTTTGATAAAAATAACACGAAGCAGAGTAATTTATTACAAATCGTCCCTTTATTTTTGACTATATAATAACCTCTTAACCCCTCGCTGATGTGCTGCTGATGTACTTTGGCAGCGCTCACTGAGTAATATTCTAAAAATCCAGAACCTAAATTAGTGGTCCCATTGGTACTGGCTGTTCTTCCTTAGGGAGTAGTTAACGACAGAAGTTACTCATGTACGCCCTTTATTTTTATTTTATTTAAACATAGAAACGAATGATTCCGAATATTTTCTGATCACGCTAACGCCACGACAACGAAACGAAGGACTTTCACGTCAAGATTTAAAATTGATGATGGGAAAAGTGTTATACAGGTAATATCCTAAAAAAATCCAGAGCAGTTTGAAGTGGTCCATTAGTTCTGGCTGATCTTCCTTAGGGAGTAGTTAACCGCTGGGTATTACTCACACCCAACCCTTTATTTTTTTTTTTATTTAAACACAGAAACGGACGATTCCAAAATATTCCGATCACGCTATCGCTAACGCTACTAACAAACGAAACGAGAATAACGCTATGTTACTTAGAATTAATTAGATAGTTTTTTCAAAAACGCGTCGCCGAAAAAAAAACCAAAAAGTTTTTTTAAAAATTTATTTTTATTGTATGTTCATTTTGTTTTAAAAAAAAAAAACCTTTTGATCGGTAACTAGTTTACGTTTGATAAAAAAAATTTATTAATGAATTAAAATTAATTGAAAATTTTTAAAATTGATGCAATAAAGTTTAAAATGCTTTTCGCAATTACGAATGGCGCAGTAACTGCGGAAATTTAA